TTAGCACAGAATTCTGGGTCTAGATGGATGTAAGAAACAAGGTAGCATCTGTTTTAATTCTATACTTTACCCTAAAATGACTCTGGGCAACAGATTAAAAAGCACTAGGGTAGACAGAGAAATGCAGAGACAGAGGAGAGTGCTTGGTAAGTCAAAAGGAGGAGGAAGGATGAAAAGGGTTGAAAGATTTCAGCTAGGAGGTGACATGTAGACGGAGACACAGGCAGAAAAGACAGGGTAGGGGAGGCCAGCCAGGAAACCAGGTTAGTGAGTGGGAGGAACAGCTGAAATGCAGATTCCCATCAGACAACAGAGGACAGCAGGAGGTACAGAGCCAGGGAAGGGGGCGAGGTTCACTCCAGAAGGGGAGTTTGCTGAGGCTTTCCCTCCTTCTTCTCTCCAAGGAAGGTGATTTCTCCATGTTTCTGGTGTTCCCCATCTCTAACCTTATGACCCAGGGACTTAGCTTTAACAGCTTGAGGCCTTTTTACCTCCCAGAAGTCTAAGGAAATTGAACATCATTCTTGAAGGTGACAGTTCTCCAGACCCAGGGAGTTAACTGAATGTTTGTCTGTTGGGGGGAAAGTGCACAGTGTTCCTCAAATCAAATGATTAAGTGAAGTCATAGAGGACTGGGTTGATGGCACATGATATTTTACAGGTTCACCAGCAATGCCTATTCACTATTGATAATCCTCTAAGGACAACTACGAAATCCGACCCAAACTACAACTCCTGCTCCCAAATAGGCTCACACATTTGCTTGGAAAGATTTAGGAGCAGGAATAGATATCAACATAATATTTATGGTCTACCATGTGTCAGACACATATGCCATGCATTTTTCCAGAAGAGGCTTAAGGTGTAGTCTACAATAAAAGACACTTCCAAGAAGGGAGAAAGAAAACTATAGCAGAATTGACACAGCGAAGTTGGCACTTTTAACATCTTTTTAGAGAAGGAAACTGGGGAAACCAAAATTTGATATTACATCCACTGCTTTACTTCAAATGCTAGTATAAAGCAAAATTAACTGTCAAAAGAGTCTCACTATTCACTTTTGATAATACATTTCAAAGCTATTCACCAGAAGAAAAAAAAAATAACTTCACTTGTTGTCAAAATAATACCCAACCTTTTATATAGAGTCCCTCTTAATTGAGACTTTTGGATATGACTCATATATTAAGGACCTTTATGACAAATTCCTCTTGGAGCCTAGGACAGGAAAGAATTTCTCCTAAAAGAAACTGTCTGATTCCTTGACAATTCCCACTTGACAAGGGGATTTATGAAAATCTTCATTTCCCCTATTTCACTGCTATGAGGAAGTTTGGAGCTAAGTTTTGTCTCAAAAACTATTGTTTGTTTTAGCCAGTTTTTTCAACATTTTTAAAAAATTGTCTTTTATTATAAACCATCTTAAGTTCTTTTTGGAAGAAGGCACAGTAAAAACAAACAAAAGGCAAACAAAACGTGATCCTGCTGGGGCCATGCTTGAGATGTAATAAGTTATCAAAATATTTTACATAACACCCCTGAAATCATTTTATCTGAAAGAGAATATTCTAAACAAAAATCTGGGCAGATACTTTCTTTCATGGTGTTTATCACATTTCTTCATGTCCCTTAAATAGCTTCATTCCAAACCACTTTGAGTAAAGAATATCAAATCTAGAGAAAATTAGCTGATTGCTCTCATATGTCTTTTTGTTAGAGTGATCTAATTAAGGTTTTGAATCTTGTCCAAAACTGTGCTCTAAAATAAACCAATTTAAATTTACATTTATCAGCCAGGCTTAAAATGAAGAACAGTTTCACTCATTTCTCTATTCACTAGTGAATAACTATCCTTAATTTGTAGATTCTTACTGGTTCCAAAATTTCTTCCAGGAATACAACCTTGTCCAGTTGATTGACAAGCACTGTATATATTAGATCATTCTTCATGAGAAGGCTGTTGAAGGGCCAGGATGTTGGTAATTTATTAACAAAATCTCTATGGCCTCAAGTTTGTAGCTTTTGTGGGTGATTGATCTTTGCAAAGAAAAAAAGCCTTTTATTTATTTCCAGAATTTTCACTATAGGTATGATTATGATTTCTGTCTCACACTATTTTAAATTTAGAAATTTCAAATAAATCTTATTACAAAAGGAGGAGGAGGAGAAACAATGAACAAAACAGAAAAGTAGGGAAAATAGCCAATATCTGGGAAGAAGAGCACACATCTTGGATACAAATAATTAGCTAAGAAGCCAATTCTGCTTATCCAGCAAGTACTTACAGTTCAACATTTTGCTGCTTCATTCCCATTCAATTCTAGCCTGTTATATAACCTTTACTTTTACTTCTAATTATGTGATTTTTTTCTCTATTTCATTAATTTATTCGACAAACATTATGGAGACCTGCTGTCTCAGGCTCTTTGTATTCTACAATATAAGCATCAAACAGAACAAATGCTTGTTCTGGTACTTATTTTGCAAATAGTAAATACTACTTAAAACTTTTTTTTACAACTGCTCTATGACAATGTGAATTCAGATGGTGTCAATACATGGTATTTGAAATTGAGCTGAAATTACCCTAAGAATCTATACTGGTTAATTTGCAATTTTATTCAATAGATAAGAAACATTTACCCTTGACAGGATAGACAACACAATCCTATCAAATGCCCTAACTGGTTTATGGTCTGGTCATAATTCAAATATTACTAAAATATATTTTAAAGCCTTTGCTTAATGGGAAATAAAATCCATTATTTTATGAAGATACAAGATCCATTATTTCTCATGAAATAGTGCATATATCACAACTCTTCAAACCATTCCTCGATTTGGTGTGGATAGTATGGTGTTCCTAAGAAGCTGTGACCAATTTCTATGTTTCTTACCTGTAAAATGGGTATACACTGAAGGCAGGTTTTCTATGAAACTCATAAAACATAAGTTTCCAGGCATCTTTTCTAGGCTACTATCTAAATCTTTAGTAATATATTCATATGGTTGTGTGCTTTTGAACATTTTAACCACTAACTGCTGAGACTGAGGTTTCTCTCCAGTGGGACTTCCCCTCTGTCATTTTCTGTTGGGTGGTGCTGGAGCAGTTTAGCATGCTATTATTTGTTCTTTTTCTTTGAGAAGACCACCCAGAAGGCACAAATTTCAAGCCTCACAAAACCTGCATCAGCTCCTAGATGTGAAAACAGTACCTATTTCACAGGTATATTATTAAGATTAAAATAATAAATATATATATAGAGAGAACAAGGCCACAGAAGTCAGCATTTTGAGAAATGTGAAAAATCATGATGCAGGCCTGTTGCATGGGATGACTTTTTTTCCTTGGAAAGGGATTTTCCAACCCCAGGAAAAAGGGACTGCATCATTCTTTTCTTGGGCCCTAGACACATTTTGAGTCCTTTCCTCCATTAAAAAAAAAAAAAAATTATATTTTAAGTTTGCATCTGTACAAGTATGTTAACATGTATTACATCACTTTCTTAAATCTAAACTTTTTCTTTTTATTTGAAAAGAGAATATTTTTGTGTGTTACTAAAAGGGCTATATACAGGCTTTAGGTACTGTGTTTAATGGCAAAAAAAGTTATGAGGTTTTCCAATATGAATAATGGTAAATTTCCCAAACCATGAAAGACTCAAGAATAGGGGTAAATAAAAAGCAATGTTGTACAACTTAAATGGGATTTCAAATACACATTATAGAAAGCATGTTTTCCAAACAAGGTCTTAAGGATAACAGGAAGCATTTCACTTTAGACGTTCAAAATATGCACATAGATAGAGTTGGCCTCTGAGACACCTGCAGAAATCGTATTTTGCTGTGAAACATATTTTCATCTAGGGAGTCTACTCTTCAATCAATGTATTTTCAGGTGTTTTGCTGCCCATTTTAGAATTACATTATCAACAAGGAAATTTATTTTAGAAAATAAGCTTCATTTTTATAATTTACAAATTGCTTTGAAATTTCATCCAAAAACCTCTGAAAACCACGTTGGCTTTGGTGCTGTTGCATCAAATAACTCACAGATGAAACAAACAAGCCGCTTCCTACTGAAGGTGTGTCCGCACTGCACCTCTGCGTGCCAGGGCTCTATCTGGCACATTTCTAAACTTTGCAAAATTAATTGTGTTGAAGAGAACACCATTAAACGCGTCCGGCGTAGAGCGTAAACATCTTCAAACCATGATTCTGCGCCACCAAACGCGCTCCAGCTAATTTCATTTGGTGCATTACTCTGGAAGAACACCGAGGCCAAGTGAAACTGCGGAAATAGGAACAATGCATGGAGGAAAAATCTCACCCATTAAGAGATCCGTTTCTTCTCCGCACAAATAAATAAGCCCACCACGCCTTGGAGGCACGACTAAATGGCTCCAGGATATTCTCAGTGCCCCCACGGGCCCTCACGGCCTAAGGGAACCCGGCTCCAAGGAGAAGGTGACCTGAGCAGCTACTACTCGGCCTTGGGGGCAGTTTAGGTTACTTGTAAAATCTGTAATCTAAGCAGTAGTCCCTCTACTGTACCCGCGCACGGGCGGCTAAAGTACGGCTCCACGGTTTTTCCTCAATACAATGTTTGTAGTGCATGACGACAGCGTTTTGGGGGCTGCTGTCTTTCCCGCAGGGCCGCCGCAGCTCTGCTGGCCTTTGGTGAGGATTTGCACCAGCTCTGCGGCTCTGCACTCCCCGGCTGTTCCGTGACCTTGCGAGGTTGGCCTCACGACCTGAGCCTCTGGAAAGGCACCACCCTCGGCGCCGAGGCCCTGCGCGCCCGCGCTGCTCCGACTCCGGGGGCACTCGCGGGCCAGCACCGGGCGCGCGCGTCACGGCCGGGGGATGGTGGCGGGGGCGCGCGGGCGGTTTCCGGCGGGGGCGCGGGCGGCGGGGCGGGGCCGGGGGCGGGGCCGGGGCCGCAGCGCCCCCCGCCGAGCGGCGTGCAGGCGCCGCCCCCGCGCGCCGCAGTCCGAGCTGAAGCCTCTCGGCCGTGGCGGTGGCGGTGGCAGTGGCGGTGGCTGTTACCGTTGCCTCCTGGAGGCTCTGGCTGCGGCGGCTCCAGGGTTCGCAGAGGGCAGCGGGCCGCTTTCGCCCTTGGCTGCTTGGAGCAGCCCAGCTCTGAGATAGGGAGGCGAGACGGCGGCGGCGCTGGGTAGTGCCCGGCCCCCTCCTTCGCAGCTCCAGCCCCCGGGCGGCTGCGGACTCCGGGTTGCCCCGGGGCGGCGGCCGCGGAGCAGACGGCGGGGGATGGCGAGATAGCGGCGCGGGAGCGGCGGGTGAGTGTCGGGGCCAGGGGGGCGCCGCGCGGGGCGCGGGAGTGGGAGCTGCGGAGCCAGAAGCCGAGTCCCGTGGGCGCGTCGCCGCGAGCGCCGGTCCCGGGCTGGGTGGAGAGCCGCACTCCGGGCGGCTCGGGTCCCGGGGTCTAGAACGGTCCAGGGCGAGTGACCTGCAGGAAGGCGCTGCGGGGCCCAGGGTCACACTCGAGTCCCTGTGGAGACCGGCTCCCCGGCTCAAACTTCTGCCCCACCAAGGACAGTAAGTTCTGAGGCCAGTGGTTACCTGGGGGATGGGAAGGAGCTTTGATTTTTTTTTTCTTTTGGGGATGTGATCTGCCAAATGATATTTAGTGCTCCTGTACCTCGACACCTCGTTAAAATAGTTCCTTCTCCTTTCTGTATTTATAGTGCATTCGACTTACCTATTTTTTTATGTGCTTATATCAGAAGTCTTAGTACTCATTAAATCCAAAGTTAAAGTGTTGACGATCAAGTTGGGCTTAACGAAAGATGTCATTTCTGATGTGTTGTCAGAAGGCACAAAGCTGGAATCATGAATTCAGACCCCCAGAAAACTGCACATCAGGGGTGGTCAACTTAGTCGAGGGCTTGAATAATGTGATTTTGGTTCCCACTTTCAGCTACCAAAAATATGAGGTCTTTAATTTGCAATCGGGTATCTTTGTGCTCCTTTTCTATGTGTGTTTAATACAGTCATTTGTTGATATAACATGTATTGTTATTGAATGATGTAGATATGGAAATGACTTCTTTGAGTTTCTTTTTATGTATTTTAAGATAGGTGTTTCAACAGAAGTTCCAGTTTAAAGTTTGCCTTCCAATTTGTCTTCAGTTTCTTTTAATTCCAAAAAGTATTTGCTTAGAGTCAAATTAATGTGCTTAATTAGTATCATCCAGTTGGAGATTTAAAATTGGTGCCAAAATTAAATTCAAAGCAAACTTCCCTTCCCCACAAGTGAAAAATAAAGCGTTTTTTTGGGGGGCAAATGATGCTTGCCCCTCCCCTTAAGTGATGATACTGCCACAAATCTGAAATCATATTTCACTAATATCAGAAGGTTCCTTGTCTAAACCTGGCAGAGGAAAGGAAACCTAAGTATAGTCTGTGCTTTTAAAAATCTGAGAATGTCCTCCTACTTGTTTCTTATGCTGACTTTCTGTTTTATAGACAGGTGGAAACTGTTTATTTGGAGGCTTCATTAGGTAATTACAAACCAATTTAAATATTATGTAAGTTTTCAAGGTGAACTGAGCAGCTATTTCCTCTCCAAGAATTGAACTGAGGTGTATTTGCTTTGTAATAGGTAAGATCACAAGTGCACCTCTAATTAGTGCAGACTGTATTCTCTTCTGGGAAATGAGAATAGGCAGTGTGCTGTTGAAGGAGCAAAACTTTTGTGATTTTTGCAAACTTTTGCTTTTGAATGGTCATCCTTGATGACTATGTTGGTAATAGTATAAATTGCTATATTAAAATTTATCATATTTGTGAAATAGACAATGCATGCACATTGGAGAAATTCAATAATCTTAAAATAATACAGAGTAAACAGTATACCTCTTTCCCACCATCTCATACAGCACCCAGTTGTCCTTCCCAGGAACCAGGGTTACTGGCTCCTTGGGTCTTTCTTTCCAGACACAGCCTAATGTTCTCATAAACATCTTGTATGTGTATTTATTTTTGTCTTTGTACAAATGAGGCCACATTGAATATTCATTTCTGCACCAGCTCCTTTCCCCCTAGTGCTAAATCATGGCAGTCTCTATCAGTACCTAAGGGAGCTGTCTCATTCTTTCACAGCTGCTGAATAAGCCATTAAGTATAAACCATAATTTATTTACCCTCTTCTTTATTGACATATATGTGTGTATATTGTTTCTAATATTCTGCTGTAAAGTTATTGTAAAGCATTAGTTTTTGAGGTTTTTAAGTGGATTTCCGTTACTCCCAAGACCCAAAGGCAGTAGTAACTTGCTTCTTTACATCACATACCAGGACATAAATGCTCTCTCTTTCCCCATTGTACACCATTTTTAAAAAAAAGTTATAGATGGGCAGAATACCTTTATTTTATTTTATTTTTATGTGGTGCTGAGGATCCAACCTAGTGCCTTACATATGCTAGGCAAGTGCTCTGCCACTTAGCTACAGCCCTAACTCACACCATTTGTTTTTATACCTCCGAAGTGATCTGTAAGGATCTTTAGCATATTTGCTACGAAGTGTGAGCCATGATGGTCATTCCCCTAATAACAGCTTAGTTCTTTGAATAAAAGGAACAAATGTATAATTTTAAGAATAAACTGTAAAAAAAAATTCTTACCAATTTAAATATTTTTGAACAGATAGAGAAGGCTTATAGTTCTGATTAAATTTAGAAGATGAGGACAGTTTTGTGTTTCATAGAGTTAGTTTGCCATTTGGCACTAAAAATCCCACCCTTCTGTAGCTGATTACCAATATCCATATGTTAATGTTGTTAATAAAATGGTTACAAACTTTATAGTTTGGGGTGGGCTATTAGTAACTCTTGAGGAAAAGGATGCTTTAAAAATATTTGGCTTTGTTCTTGTTCTTAAAATAAAAATCGAGGTCTCTTAGAGTGCTTTCAATACAATGAATTCTAGAAGTAATGCTAATACTAAAAATTAGCCTAATGCGTTATAAAGTTTGACACTTGTCAATATGAGCTTTAGTATTCTCATTATGCATTTATTTATTTATGTTTTGAGGGTTATAAGCTATGATCTTTTGAAAAACTGATTTCTTTAAAAAACTGACCCAGTCTTTTAGCATTTAAGGTGTTTTTTTTCCTTTGTTATTTGGTTCCTGTCATTGTGCTTATGCTGTCTATATTTGTTCTTCTTAAGTAAATATTTATCAGACATCTGTTAATATTCCAGGCACCTTTATAGGGACTAAGATATAGTGGTGCGTGGGGCAGACAGACCTGACTGTGAGGTCACATCTGAGTTGGGAAGATGGACAAAAGGCAAAGGAACAATAAAGGAGATAATGTCAGAAAGTGATAAGTACTGGGAAATTAATCAAATAGGGCTGCTGTGGTGGAGGGGCAGGGTGGAGACTGGTGGCTTAGATTCAGTGGCTAGAGAATCTTCTTTAGGGTGGAAAGGTTCAAGCTGAGAGTTGGTTGAGGAGGAAGAAGCTGGAAGAAGGGTGGCTCAGGCAAATGGAACAGCAAGGGCAAGGGCACTTGCATGCTTGAGAGACAGAGGGTCACTGCTGTAGGGAAGCTTCCAGGAGTGTGCTGGGATGGGTGCACCATGTATTGCGTAGGTCAAGAAATGTCTACATGAGTGGAAGAGAAATGAGGATGGTGGAGTTGCTCCATGGGCTGGGTACTCCAGAGGGGTTGGCACAGATCTGCAGTGTGAGGCACCACCTTATTCACAGAGTGGGCTGTGGCTGATTGTTAAAAAATAAATAATTGATCTAAGAAATAATCTTGCCTGATGTTGATCAACGTACTTAGATTCCAGAGTCTTTTATGTGAATTTTCCAGGATGGCCCTGGCCCTTAACTTTACTAAATCTGCTTCACTGTTAACATACTCATATTGTTGCTTTAAGTCAGTTGCATGCCATTGTTCTATAAAATTTAAGCATGAAACCTTTAAAACACACTTTTCCAATAAATTACAGTGATTCCTGAGAAATTTAGCATTTTATTTTTATTTCTGTGGAATAGCCATTTACTTAAGTGTAAAATTTTTAAAGATTCCTTTTTAGCATATTGAATGCTTTAATTCTTTAGGACAGAGGACAGACTAATGAGTGGATAAAACATACATACTTATGCAGGTACTTTTATTCTCACAGGAGGAATGTGTATGTGCTCTATTTTAGGAAATATCAGGAACTTATGGTATTTCCTCTTCCCAACTTCTGTTTGTTGTTCTAAATATATGTTCCTTTATATTAATTGAAAGCCTGGGAAATGAGTTTTATGCCAAGCAATTGTTGTAGGTGTCTAATAAGAATATCATGACTTACTGTGAGCTCCTGTGAATATTAGGAGTTTAAATTTGTTAATTTTAGAATAAGAGCCTATAAATGTGTTAATTTTGTATTTTACGTGGTTGATAGCTGCACATAGTGAGTTGTTTCCAGGTAGGATAATTTTATCTAATCGTATCTTCCAACTTTTTCTCTCAATTCTGTGAAAATTCTGTGTAAAGCATAGATTTTTTTTTTAAACTCTTCAATCTTAAGCCAAGTAGCCTTTGTCCTTTGTCCTGACACTTGGAGTAAAAGCTCTTCAGGCAAACAACCGAAGCACAGCACTGTTGTGTTGAATTTAGAGGCTTAGAAACATGAGTTAAAGTGCTTCTACCAACTCTTTTATATTTCCTCTTATGAACTGTAGAGATTCAGGAGTTCCAAAATTGTTTTATATTGCCTAAAATGATACACATACATTCTTCTAGTAATGTGTTGCTGCTGATGTTGTTCAAATGAGCAAAGCTCATTTTTATTAGCTACTGTTTTATGGTTTGATGTGGGAAGTGGAGGAAGAACTTCTGGTGGGTGATTTTTTTCATGTACTTTTGCACAGAGGTGATAAAATCTTAGCTGCTACTTATTCTTCTGGCTGATGAGGCACACACAGAGAGCACACACATGGAATTGACATGTGTGCCTAGATTTGAGAACTCTTAACGTATCGTAAGTGGCAGTATCCTGAAGGGCCACTAGGAGGCAATATCATTTCCTGAAGGTATGCATAAGCATGGGTGCTTTGAGATACCGAGACCCTTGCTATGCCTTTCTCTAACCACTCCCCAGAGCAGCTTCTCTAAGGAGTCCCTGAATCCCAGAACAATTGAAATGGTGGTAGCAGGAATGTCTGGTGGAAAATAACCTGTGGTGACAGAAGCAGCGCTTCCCATTTCTAATATTAGAAATGCCAACAGGGCTGTGACTTGTGGACATTCTGTGTGTGCTTGTTAAGTTGG